CATATACCGAGGCTGTGTATATATTTATAGCATATATTTACAGCATATTTAAAGCTTTCCCCCCAATTCCCAGTGATTTCACAATAAAGACATACGTATATACAGACTGGGTTATCCACATCTCCCCTTGTTCTGCTGCTTCTGTCACCCTCCTGGGGGAAAAACTGCTCTTTAGTGCTCAATCGGAGCTAACAGGAATTTGGGTTTTGACCAGATTGCCATTTGTTCTGATATATCACTAAAGAGCGGGTTTTCCCTTGGAAAGGAGCTGGGCAAGGGGAAAACTTGGACCCACACTTAGAAAGTGCCAGAACTTGTGCTTTCTAGGCACATCACATGCAAAAGTGTGGATGAGCCCTGTATAATATATATATGTATACGTATATGAATGATCAAGAATTGCAGTCACCTGTGTATGACAGCTATGTACATTTTACAATTTTTATGTGCTGTAAGCTGCCCAGAGAGTCTGGGAAAACCCAGCCAGATGGACGGGGTATAAATAATAAAATCATCATCATCATCATCATTCCTTTCCCAATTCTCTAGCCTTCTAAAATAAGCAGGGAGCCTCCACAGACACAAAAGGATCCCTGTGGCAGATGTTTGCCTACCCTGAGAAGGAAGGCAAATGGGAATGGCTGCTGCAGCAGGCTTGAATTTATCATGCTTGCCTCCCCTCCCCCTCCCATGCTTAAATTTACCTTATTGTAACACCTGAAGACAGCTTAAGAGTTAACAATATCAAGATGGGCACAGAGAATCCTTGCATGAAGGAACTCCAAGATTGCATGCAGGGATGGTGTGGAACTGGGGGCAGGGGTGCAGAGGCAGAGACCACATTTATATTTTGCCTCAGAAAGCAACATTCCAAAGTTACGATGCACAGATGTGGTTGGAGGGGAGGAAAGGGGTAAAATCTTCTTAATAAATCCATTCCACGCCTGCAGAAGATGAGACAGGAGTTGCATATTCAACCATGTCATTTTGCTGAGCCAAAAGCAAAAGTGTTTCCAAATCCATTTGTTCTGTTCTGCAGTAACTCTGCTTATTTTGGGCTTTCAGGGAGCTTGGGCTCCCCTCCAGCACCTCAGAGATGCTAAAGAAGCAGAGGGAATAAGAGATGGATCCTGGTCTGAATGTATGCCATTAGCTGGCCTTAGTCCCTTCTGCTATATCGGGAAAACAGTTAAGTAATCTACCTTTCAGGATTGTTGTAAGTATTACAAATAGGTGAAATAGGTGAAGTGCTTTAAACACAATAAAGCAATGTATGCTGCTGTAATTGTAATTGTTATTATTATTTACTGCTGCTAGTGTAGCTGTTGTTCAGCTGAAAGAAGAAGAAGAAGAGTTTGGATTTGATATCTCGATATACCCGAAGGAGTCTCAAAGTGGCTAACATTCTCCTTTCCCTTCCTCCCTCACAACGAACACTCTGTGAGGTGAGTGAGGCTGAGAGACTTCAGAGAAGTGTGACTAGCCCAAGGTCACCCAGCAGCTGCATGTGAAGGAGCGGGGAAGCGAACCCAGTTCACCAGATTACGAGTCCGCCGCTCTTAACCACTACACCACACTGGCTCTCAAGCACCAGGCAAATCATTCTCAGCAATGTTTGTCAATGTCCCTTTTGTCCATTAGCAGGGCCGAAGCTTCCTAAAGTGTTGGATCAGATGCAGGTGGCACTGTGGTCTAAACCACTGAGCCACTTGGGCTTGCTGATAAGAAGGTCAGTCGTTCGAATCCCTGTGATGGGGTGAGTTCCCGTTGCTGTCCCAGCTCCTGCCAACCTAGCAGTTTGAAAGCATGCCAGTGCAGGTAGATAAATAGATACCGCTGTGGCAGTAAGGTAAACGGCATTTCTGTGCACTCTGGTTTCCATCATTGTGTTCCGTTGCGCCAGAAGCGGTTTAGTCATGCTGGCCGCATGACCCAGAAAGCTGTCTGTGGACAAACTCCGGCCTGAAAGCGAGATGAGTGCCGCAACCTCATAGTCACCTTTGACTGGACTTAACCGCCTAGGGGTCCTTTACCTTTTTTTACCTTACCAAGATTCACAAACCATGATACACATGACAACATCTCCCAGCACAGACTGTGTTCTCTGTGTCTGCCCCTGAAATTTCTGTGACCTGTAATGTGCAGAGACTGGGACGTTCAAGGAGATTCACGCCATGGTTTTCTGGTGGATTGAACAGACTAGGTGATGCTGAATCAGCACCACACATGTCAGAACCATGCTATACATTTAAAGCACATTCACAGTCACAAGAAAAAAACTGAATTTTGGCATGATCCTTCCCCTCTCCCCATTGGTCCACAGTAGAAACATGCACCCCCTTTAACCCGCAGGATTTGCACTGATTCATGCTTTCCACTTCGCTCCATAATGACCAGCTACATCAAGCAGCCATTTCATTGGTTTAAAAGAAACTCACCACTTTTCTGACCAAAATGTTACAGATGTAATCATTCCCCCCGATTATGATTATTTTACACACTGCAGGGTGCCAACAATAATAAAAATGTAAACATCACATTATTTTTTCACCTTAATGTAACTTCAAATTAAAAGGAAGAAGAGGCCAAGGCGAGCCATAATATGTCTTGAAGTCTTTCCAAATGCAAAACAAATAAATAAAGTCCTGCGAGATGCCGACAGCATTTTGAGAAGCCCGCGTTGCTTTCTCACACTGCAGTTTTAATCTGATCCAATTTCTGGGAAGGAAAATATATTTTCCTGAAAAATTTGAAGGGGGGAAAATTAGTAGAGGTTGGCACCAGAAAAATGATAGCAGAACCCTGCTGTTCTGTAGACACTCGTTAAAGAGATTGAAAATAATCAAGGTGACAGTAATTTTGTAAAGTGTCTTTCCAGTTTTGGAATCCAGATTTAAAAGTCTGAACTGGTGGGGGAAATGTAATGGAAGCAAGGATACTGCTAACCTATTCAGTCCCACTGAAGCCTTCCTTCCTTCCTTCCTTCCTTCCTTCCTTCCTTCCTTCCTTCCTTCCTTCCTTCCTTCCTTCCTTCCTTCCTTCCCATCCCCATTCTATTCATAGGGTTTTACGGTTAGCAGGGATTTTATAGTGGGCATCCATAGCTTATGACCCACCAAATTGAACACTACCCACCACTAGTCAAGTATGCAGTCCATCAGCAGCTCAATTAACTTCTTGATTTTACAGCTTCTGATGAACTTCAGAAGGTGTAGCCTGGGATGTTTATTAACCCCCTGGGTGCAACCGCTGAACATGTCTGGTGTGGTTGGTGGGTCACATCTTGAGCAGGTCTGCTTTATGAGACTTGGGCTTCATGTTGTTGACTTGGCTGTGCTGGTGAAGGTGGACTTACCCTCCCAAATATGGGGAGCATGTCAGGTGACCACGAGGAATAAGAACGTAAGAAGAGTACACGTCAAAAGTCTACGTAGTCCAGTGCTCTCTTTGCAGAACCTAGCCAGATGCCTATGACAAGCAAACAAGTGCAACCACGTTCTCCAAGTGCAGTTCCCTCCCAGCAACTGGTGTTCAGAGTCATACACTCCTCTGACAGTGGAGGTGGAACATATTCATCAAAGTTAGTAGCCATTCATAGCCTTCTCCTCCTCAAATTTGTTTAATCCTCTTTTAAAGTTGTCCACGTTGGTGGCCACCAATACGTCTTGAGGGAGCAAATTTCTGACAGGCAACCGTCAGGGATTATTTCTCCCCTGGATAGAGAGACATAAGGCTACATCCAGCACCTCTGACAACCAGGATGCGAAGCCTGTGGAACGACAAATGATGTTGAACTTGAACACCCGTCATCCCAGGCCATTTCCAAGCTGGCTGTGGGTGATGAGATTTGGAGTCCAGCAACATCTGGAGGGCCACATGGTCCCCACCCTTGCTTTACTGGCAGGGCTTGTTATTTGCTACCTGGAATGAAAGACAAGATGTGACTGCTCAATTCTAGAAACAGAGGCCAACTAGGCTGGTGGCTGAGAATTTTATTTCAGCACTGGTGATGGGATACCAACCACCACCACACCTCAGGGGAGTTGAGGGGACGGGGCAAACCAGAGGACACACACAGCTCAGTTACCACCACATTGAGCTGGCTGCCTCAAATTGCTTAATGGTAGGGCTGGCTGGGGGAGATGGGTCCATTAGGACATATGGGTCACTTCTGCACTGAGCTCAGCCTGCCCTCGGCCAGCCTATCTACATCCTTATACTTACAACCAGTCTAAGGAGTGGTAATGGCTGCCAGCTTCCTCCTCTTTGAATTCATTGAGGAAAGGAACAAAACCAGAATTCTTTGGCACTGCCTAACATTTGCTCTTGCGCCACCTACAGTTGGACCTCCCTACTTTCCACCCTACCAATCCCAATGAGCTCCAGACTTCACTGAGGTCCGGTGCTATAGGCTTTCAACCTTGACAAATCTCCACCTGGTCCAGATCTTGGCCTGGTCCAGCATGCACCTAAAAACTCACCTAGGCTTACTTTCCTTTGGCTCAGACAATACAAATCCACGGTCAAACACACCTAACAAGAGATGCAACGTCAGCCACAATTTTAACTTTCCAAAAGAGTTTTATCAATCACTGTGACACCGCCGGTCATCTTGCTGCATAAATCTGCACACACACACAAATGTGTCATACCATTGAGCTGGCGTTTAGCCATTTACTGCTGGGTTTGTTTCTTTTTACAGGCATCATGCGATATATATTTTTATGTGGAAACTCATGTGACACACACCCTGCCCCCATTTTCCTGCAGAGTTTTGTGCTTTGTCGTAAAGAGCGGGAGTTATAGTTTTCCAGAGTATTAGCTATAAAAACGGAGCCTTGTTATAGTTACAGTCAGAGGGTGCAATAAATGAGTTATTTCAGCATATATCAGAGTTCAGGGCTCTTCTTCGTTACTTGGAAGTAGTGCCGTTATGTGGTGGAGAGACTCTGCAGCCTGGGACTTTCAGGACAAGTGCTATCTCTGCTGGAGCCTGGAAGTCACGTGGCTTCTCCTTTAAATAATGTATTCCCCTACAGTTCCAGCTCTTGACTTGTTCAAAGACAGTTTCTTTAAAATTTAATCAGTAGCTTTATCATCGCCTGCAGGAAAAAAGTGCCAGAGCAAAAGTGCTTTCAGAGCAAGGAAACCTGACATCTAATGAAATAGCACCTTTACTCATCTCTCTTCCCCACCCCCTCCCCAATCGGCCACATTTTTGTTAATTTCTCCTACAAGTGTTCCCATTAAAAAGAAAAGGTAGGAAGGCTCCGTGCACTGTGGTGACAATCTGAAGCACCATTCAGGTGACCTTGTTAGAGCCACTGCACAGTGACTCAGGTGGGATGCCATCCTTGTAAAGTTAGGCTGTCTGAACAGCTCTGCGTATGGTGCCAAGGACTCACTGAACACAACTGATGATGGGCAGGCCAGTCTCTTCCTGGTTCTTGTTAGTTTCACATGTGTTCATTCCTAAGGGCCAGTGTGGTGTGATGGTTAGAGTGCCAGACTATGACCTGGGAGACCAGGGTTCAAATCCTTACTCAGCCATGAAGCCCACTGGGTGACCTTGGGCTTCATGGCTGAATGAGGGCCAGTCAGTATCTCTTGACCTGACCTTGCTTGCAAGGTTGTTGTTGTGAGGTTAAAATGGAGAGGGAAAGAAATGCGTACACAACCTTCAGTTCCTTGGAGGAAAGGCAGGATATAAAGATAAGTAAACTATTTTGCCTCATCATTATGCCATTATTATTATTATTTTAAATCATGTATTTTACATTTATTAAGGTGCAGACTTTGAGCTTTAATATATTTATATTGCATAAAATTAGCATTTTTGGATACATCTTTTGCCCTGAAATACATTTTTCCCCTCATCAGTGTATTAGTCCGGAAAGTGTGATTCAGGCTGGTTTGCTTAAAAATGAAGTGCAAATGAAATAGTTGTGCATCTCTACACACTGAGCCAGCACCATAATCTAAACTGGAAAGCATGTCTCACCTCTTGAAAATATTACTTACTCCTCAAGAGGTCCAGGTGGTGCTTGCTGTGATTCAGGATGGGCAAATGAGTCACTTTTGGTTTCTCTCAGTTTCTCTCTCTCTCTTTTCCAATCTGAAGTTTGGTTCTGCATATTTTCTCACCAATGCTGGTTTTTTTATTTATTAAAAAAAATTCCAAATGAAAAATTGTCAGCATTATAGTGTGCATTTTTTGTACTGTACACCTTATTTTTTTTGGTATGCTATTTCCCCTAATATATACATTTACCCCAGTATGGGCATTTTTGTCAACTTTATTTGGCTGGAGAATCACATTGCGAAATTTGGAGATGTTAGAATTTGGAAGGCTGGCTGTGCTTCGGAGGTTGGTGCAGGAGACGATACCATGGTACCTTGGGTTACAAACACCTTGGGTTACAAACACTTCAGGTTACAGACTCCGCTAACCTGGAAGTAGTACCTCGGGTTAAGAACTTTGCCTCAGGATGAGAACAGAAATCGTGTGGCAGTAGCAGTGGGAGGCCCCATTAGAAGTGGTACCTCAGGTTAAGAATGGTTTCAGGTTAAGAACAGACCTCCGGAATGAATTAAGCCTGTAACCAGAGGTACCACTGTAGTCGAAACTCACTTGAGATTGCCCATAGAAAATGGCAAATTTGCAGGAATTCGCAGAAGTTTTTACAATAGTTCTCCTCTATATCCATGACAGAAGAAAATAATATGGAATGCATACGTTTTTGTTCACATTCTACTCAGAAGAGTATTTTGGTTAGATGAGGAGATATACAACAGCAGGAGGAAGAGCTGGAAAAGGGGGGCAAATGTCAAGCACACATATGAAGGAAGAGTTGTTCTTTAAATTGTTGAGCAGGTGGTTCGGTTTGACGGTGAACTTCTATGGCCTGTATCCCAGGGACTTGGAATGGATGAACCAGTCTATTTATTTCTCTGTTTATTCATTTATTCGTTCCATCCTATTTCTGCATTAATCTACCAAAAAGGGTGGAAAAACATGCACAAAAATTGTATTTAAATTGAATTTTTTTGTAGCATGCTATTTAAATAGGTATGTATGTCTTTTATATACACTGCTTCATATTTCGATAGAAATCTCTCAGCAGAAATCTCTAAGTTTACAAACCCACCCAAAAGCATTCAACATGAGAAATGCAATACAAAACCTTTAACTGAAACACAATAAGGTAGAACTACTATGTCCACTAAACGGCGTTTCCGTGTGCTGCTCTGGTTCGCCAGAAGCGGCTTAGTCCTGCTGGCCACATGACCCGGAAGCTGTACGCCAGCTCCCTCAGCCAATAAAGCGAGATGAGCGCCGCCACCCCAGAGTCGGCCACGACTGGACCTAATGGTCAGGGGTCCCTTTACCTCACTATGGTCACTATTAATCACGACAATCCCACATGTTATCTAACTTCATTAAATACATTCCTCTAAGCAATGTAACCATATGCAAAACTTAACAGTCCAGGGAACATCAACAGGCAACAAAGCACCCTAAACATATCATAAATATATTTTTAAAGCCACAAAGTATGATCACCAAAATCATTCATCTGCATATTCACACCACACCGAATCACACGTCCGCACTGCACAAAACTAAGCACGCAACCTCCAAGTATGCAATTGCTCACCAATCTCCTTAACACCCACCACATCACTCCATTCTCTCTCTGGTAAAACACTTCAAAGTTGAAGGAACGAATAAATACGTTTCAGTGCATGCATTTCTAAATGTGTTTGATCCTAAAATACCCATTTTAAATGCACATTGGCACGTTCTTCTGAATCAAGAGCCGCATCGCACCCTTTGGAGAAGTGTGAAATCCAAAGAATAATTATGTTCCAATCCGCACGTTAGTCCAGGAGGCAGAGGTAAGATCCATTTGCAGTGGGATGGACAGGATTCAAATTCCCAAGCATGAGACCTAGGGCAAGAAGGCAAGCGTATGTGTGCCGTGCTGGTGACAATAATAGTGGTGGACATCTTCAGAACTACACCCAGCATCTCACCCCTGCGTTATCATATATGAAAAGCTACATATCGAGCACTTGCCTTTTAGCTTTCCTTTGCAGTTGCATGTGTCCTTCCACATCACAGCATTTGGCTTAACCCTGCACAGCTGCTGAGAAGATAACTGAAGACTTGTCCTCTGCTGCCTTGTCCAAAACTAAATCTATTAGATGCGGCAAGGAAAGCAACAATGCTTGCACTTAGGTACCTGAGCCAGTAGAGGGTGATAGAGAGACAGGCAACCTGTTGCTCACTGATCCATTCACTTTAGTATGCTTGTTGGTAAAGTAGATCACATCTCTCAGGCTTACTTCCTTTCTGCTTCTTCTCCAAGGTCGGTTATGAGCAGGCACCCCTAAACTCAGCCCTCCAGCTGTTTTGGGACTACAATTCCCATCATCCCCGACCACTGGTCCTGTTAGCTAGGGATGATGGAAGTTGTAGTCCCAAAATAGCTGGAGGGCCCAGTCTGGGGATGCCTGGTTATGAGTATGAGCCAGCTTCTGCTCGTGTTAACTACTTGGCTCCATCTTGACCACATGTAAAACCTATACCCAAGTTTTCTTTATCCTTTCAGCAGTCTCGTCGGACTATTTATTTCTGCACACCATTGCAGTATATTTATCAAAAGCCATAAATATTTTAAAAATTGACTTTTTTATTGCATTGTTTCACTGTTTGTTTGTTTGTTTGTTGTCCTAGGCTCTTTTTGGAGCAAAGGCAGGATAGAAATGTGATTGAAAAGTGCTGCCTATTCTGGTTGATAGCAGCTCTCCATAGTTTCAGGCATGATTTCAGATGCTGCGGCCAGGTTCCGTTGCCCTTTGAAGCTGCTAATGCCATGGATTGGACCTAATGCCTTCTGCATGCAAGCAGGTGCTGTCCTGTTCAGTGGTGGCCCCTCCTCGTTTTTAAAGTTCAGGTGCATTTATTTGGATGTGCAGAGATTTGTGGCTAGATGCATCGCAAGCCATCTGCAAGCTCCTCGTTTTGCAGGAAGAGTGGAGAACCTCATCCCTTGCTTCGACTGGGACGAAGGCTGAATCTCCTCCTCTTATAAGATTTGCTCGCTTCTGGCTGAAGGGCATTCCCAAAAGACAGGTTAATTTTTAGGGGTCGGTTATAGCTGTAATAACATGGAGACACAGAATTGATTACTGTCTCCTCGGCAATTTGTTTTTCGAAAGGATGCTCAAGCGGTGATTTCAGTCACAGAATGATTTGTCTGTCGGCAGAGGGGGGAAAGCATGGCAGGAACTGTGTGCCAGAGCATGGCAACCCCAGAAGGTTAAAGATATCTGCCGATTGCAAAGGACAGTGGAAAACGGCATATCAGAAGGAGGGAGCCACCTCATCAGAACCGAGCAGCCGCATCTGTTGGGAATTTATTTTATATTATTACTAGCAAAAGGACTGCTGTGTTGGTGGTGCTGGTGATGATGGTACAGTGGTACCTCAGGTTAAGAACTTAATTCGTTCTGGAGGTCCGTTCTTAACCTGAAAATGTTCTTAACCTGAAGCACCACTTTAGCTAATGGGGCCTCCTGCTGCTGCTGCCGCACTGCTGGAGCATGATTTCTGTTCTCATCTTGAAGCAAAGTTCTTAACCCGAGGTACTATTTCTGGGTTAGCGGAGTCTGTAACCTGAAGCGTCTGTAACCTGAAGCGTCTGTAACCCGAGGTACCACTGTATGTGTGTATTTCTGTATTTCAGGCCAGGACCTTGTAGGCGTCTGTAACCCGAGGTACCACTGTATGTGTGTATTTCTGTATTTCAGGCCAGGACCTTGTAGGCGTCTGTAACCCGAGGTACCACTGTATGTGTGTATTTCTGTATTTCAGGCCAGGACCTCTACCTGTATTTCAGGCCAGGACCTTGTAGGAGTGCTGGTGAAACTCAGTGGAAGGCAGACCTAACTGCAGGAAATCAGTACCACGGCCAGTTCCTAGTGGAGCAAATGTCAGAAACTGGACCAGTGTTTCTCAAACTTGGGACTACAATTCCCATCATCCCTGACCACTGATCTTGCTAGCTAGGGATGATGGGAGTTGTAGTCCAAAAACAGCTGGAGACCCAAGTTTGGGAAACACTGCTTTAAGCAATGAGGACAATCTAAGCAGGTCGTCTGCTCAGCCAAGTTTACAATGGAAATCAACACATCATTTCCCTGCTCTTCAGGTTACATAGACAATAGAAAATGGAGGTGATGGTGAGCAAAAAGAGAAAGCCTGAGAACAGGACAGGAATTCTTCATTCTTTTGAGCTAATTTGGATTGAAACTGTCGCAGTTCAGAAGAACCATGTTCTAAATGAGCTTCTAGATGAGCCAGGAGGCATTTTCTTCCTCCCTACCACCAAGTCAGCTTCAACCATGCTGAAGGTTGGCTCTAGCAACTGTCTGATGCCAACTTTCTTGCCCTTAGCTCTGCCCACTCTGATGGCAGAATCTTAGAAGGGTCACATACTCATTTCCAAGGCACTGGTTCTGGTGGACTGGGGAGCATCCTGCTGCCCTCTGCCAGCTATATAATGTATTGTTCTTAAACAGATCAAAGCAGCAGTAGCCAAATACGTAATAGGCTTGAGAGGACAGGAGCATCTTAACCTTCCATCATAAAGTGAGGAAAATGTTAAGTGTTGTATAAGGATCTGCAGTGAATACCCATTCATCCTGTTTTATTTAATGAGATGAAGGCGACCTGCTGTTGACCTGGCACATGAGTGGTGTCGAACTTTTTGCCCTGGCTTGGCTGGAACTGAATCCAGGGATTCTCAAGCTCCCTTTTCTCTGCTGAGCATGTTTTCTCAAGTGAACTGATTCTCACCGCTTCCAAACACAAGAGGCTCCCTGCCCATGCTTTGCATTCTCTGAAAGCAATTCTTTCAAGAGGTATAGGAGAGAGGGGTTTGCAAATACCTGGAAGAGTGGTTAGAAATGGGAACACACAAAGACAGAGTTCTGGGAAGGTAAAGTGTGTTATAAATTGGCTAGCTGAAACAAATGCTATTATACATGGAAGGGTGAAATATGTGATTGCGCTGAGGAAGGTACCTGAGAGAGCTAGCTGTTTGTTTGTTTTTTAATATTGCAGGATCAAGAGCATGGTGTTCTTTGGAAGGAAGGGGAAAAGGCAGCTCACAGTGCTTTGATACAATGGCGCCTGCTTTCTTTGGCACATGCCTACTGATATTTCAATGGAACACCACTTACCTTTCACAAGCCAGCTTTGATTTACCTTTCTCTGCTTCCCTGGTGCCATAAAACCATCTGCAATGCTGCCCTGACATTTTCCACAGCTCCTCCTCCAGCTGCAGTGCTTTGTCAATTAATCAGTTGGGTTAATTGAAAGTAATTTTTATTCTGTGTTTTTACATACAATTAAAAAGAAAAAGAAAGTAAAGAATAAATGAAGAAAAATGAAAACAAAACCATGAAAAACCAAGGACACAACACAAAACACCTAAGGATTTCCCTTCCTCTCCTTCTCTGATATATTTTCTTTTCCCTCTCTTCCAAGTTACCAAGTTCTACTCTTCTTACTACTCCTACTTCCACTTATACTGCTGAATTTATTCAAGTCCTGCTAATCTGTTCACTTGTTTATACTGATTTTTAAAATACTCTACAAACATTTCCATTGCTTTTTGTATTCTTCATCATCTTGTTCTCTTATCTTACTGGTCAGACCCACCAGCTCCACATATTCCAACAACGTAAAGTGCCATTCCTTCATGGTCAGCACTGCACCTGTTCTCCATTTTTGTGCAAGCAAAATTCAGGCTGCTGTAGTGGCATACATAATTTTTTTAAAAAACAACATATTGGGGGACTTATGTTGTTACTATTTCCAGAAGAAAAGCTTCTGGTTTCTTGGGAAATGTTCTCTGAAATATTTTTAATTCATTATGAATCATTTCCCAGAATTCTTTGATTACTTTACTCAACCACCACGTGTGGTAAAAGGATTCTTCTACCTCTTTACACTTCAAGCATTTGCCTGTCCCAGCTTTAAACATTTTCGCTAGTCTACTTGGTGTTAAATACCATCTGTGGATCATTTTCATGTGGCTTTACTTCAATATATAACACACAGTATATTTCAGGTTCATTTCCCACAGCTTCTCCCATAGTGCAAACTCAATATTGTGCCCCACATCCCTTGCCAGATTAATCATACATGATTTCACAGGCTCATCTTTCATTTCCCATTCTAAGGGTTAGAAGATCTAATAAGATTTAATAAATAAGTGAATCTATCATGCCACTTGTCAGGGATGATCCACACTCCAAAGTGGCTCACAACATCAAAAACAAACAATATAATTCATTAACTATTGCAAATCATAACAAATGAAAATATTCCTGTGAACAGTAGATGAATAACAGCATCACAGCCTCTCAGAAGATCCATGGGGAGGGAGAGAGTAGAATTCATCTCCAAAGGGATGCTTCCAGAGTGTTGGTATTTTCAGGTGGGACCCAATCACATACGGACAAATTCAGGTCACGCAATTATAGTTCATAGGGAGGTCTTGTGCAACAACCCTCTCCTCCAAAGAGCCAGCCTTTTTGCAATAAGGAAAGTGACAGGAAATTGGAAAGTGTGGGATGACACTTGCTTTCAAGCATCATCTAACCTCCCTGAAAACAAATCAGAACAAACAATCAATAAACAGACTTCCTGGAAACACCCTAAGATAGTGCCATCCACCTGCATACTGAAGAGGAAATCTGCCTGCTGATTAATTGGGGTTCTTCCACTTATTTATTAATATTTTTAACCCCACCCTTTCTCCCAAAGGAATCCAGGGCAGCAAACACCAAAGTGGAAAAGCAATACAATTAAGAATAAAGTCGAAAGCACATTTAAAACAACAAAAAAATTGATGGAGATTGCTGTGTGATGTGCACATGCCATCTCGGTGGAAAGGGAGGGCTTGCATTCAGCTAAGTACTTCCACTCCTGCAATGATGTCTGCTTGCACAAGGAAACTTCCTCTTCTCCCTGTGTTGTCCAAATCGGTTCTGGGTTTGTTTTTTCAAATCCCCCACAACAGATTCCCTGTGGGGCACACAGGGAGAGAAGAAGGAAGGGGAAGTTATTGTTATTAAATGAAATTTTAGTCACTTTCTCTTGCCTAAGGAAACCTAAAGCGACTTGCAACCAACCCCCCTCCACATAAATACATTAAAACTGGGTGAGAGAAAAGTTAGTGTGCATGCTAACTGTCCCCCAAGTTATGCTGTTTTCTTATTTCAGAAGATATTTTCCTTCTGGATTAAAGTTCCCTCTCCTGCATGGCCCAGGACAACATACTACAAGGCACATAAAAATTGATGGCCCATTACAACCACCCCCAAAGCCACAGCATGATAATACCTTGATTAGGACCAGCCAGAATGTCGCAAAGTCATGTGCAACCTTTGGAGTTTGCTAGAACTTTCCACCAGACTGGATGTCAAATACAACAGAAAGTCTGAAGTTCACCAGAGGCAGTGTGTTAATTAATCAACAGCAACAAATTCTTTAGCCAGCCAACAACATTGACACAAATAAAAATAAATAACAGTTTGTGGCGTTTGCCCATTCTTTTGGAAATGTCTGTACAGGGGGAGAGAAAGGGTTACCAGGTAGACCAATAGAAAGCCCAGAGGTGGAGCCTACCTGTTTTTAAAAGGCTTAGCCAGAGGTTTAGACAGTAGGGGAAAGACAGTTGGGGAAACAGCAGTTGGGAAAGCAGTTGGAAGACAGATGGAAACAGACAGACAGTTAGTGCAGTTGGTTCTTGTGTGAGGGGAGGTAGAAGAGTTAGAGACGGGATAAAATAAGACTAAGAGGGTAAAGGGTAACAGTGTTTCGAATGCATTTAAAGTTTATTTGTGTTTGCAATAAACTACAATCTTTGTTGTTAACTTGAGAACCCGACTGAGACTAAGTGATTTACTGGGGAGAACCTGGTTGGTTCTCCCCGGATTAGTGGTGTACGGGTCAATAGTCCGTGAGACGACTGGGGGCTCTGTATGAATGCCACACAGTTGAGAAGGAAAGTGAAGGACTATTCTCAAATATCTACTAGTATATAGAAGGTGGCTTGTATATCCCTTGCAGGGAATCAAATGAGCACAGTGGATGATGCACTGAAACTGCTTAGCTAGAGGCCACTGAAAGCCCCTGACAGATCTGTCAGCTGGACATGTCAACTTGTCAATCAAGAGGCTGACCTCGCTAAGAACAAGGAGCGAGATACCCCAACCCATCCCACCCTGACTCTTCTTTCAGGGGCAGCCTGCAGCCATGAAAACAACCAGCCAGAAACTTGTGAAGAACGGCAGCGATGTTGCAGCAGCAGTGGACACAGCAATTTTCAAGGGTTCTTGCATCCCGAGTCTCTCAGGAGGCAAAGATGTGTATCTAATTTGCTATATTTTTTTTAAAAAAAGCAAAACACAGCCAGTGTGGTGCCTGGCAGCTGTGAAAAGGTTAATTTAGAACCTAAAGACATGGCTGGAAGCAGTAATGTGCCCTTGGCATCAGCCGGTGATAGGTTGTTCCAATGAAATTTGATGATGCTTGTAGATTCAGCGATTGAGCATGTTGCTTAATAAACCCTTGGCTCATTGAATCTTAATAAACCATAGCCAGGCTTGGAGGGTGGAGTTCTGTGAGACCTTAGGAGGCTTCCTTTCGCCCACATGTTGACATTTCTCTCAACCCTTATTAATCTCTACTGTCGCTTCGCTAGGTTGCCTCTGGACTCTCAGCTGCCCTGATTGTTCCAAGTGCAAGCCTGCTCCTTGCCTTTTAGAAAAGTAATAATAATCTGATTTTTAGAATGTCTCTCTCACCTGGTCTTGATAGCTGTTAAAGACATTGATCTGTCAATTATGACTTGTTCCCTTGGGTGCCAGCCCTTTTTGTCCTATGCTGAAGATATGAGTGGTTGAATTATGGATGTATTTACAGGGTTGATGTAAAGATAACAAGATAATATATGGCAAGAGCTTCGAGGGCTTTGGGAAAATGCTATATAAATACTATTTTGGCTTCTGGGACCATTCCTTTGCTTTTTAATGGCCAAGGGTGGCTGGTTGATGTTTCTTCAAAGGAAGCTAATTGTTAGAAGATACAAAATACAAAATAAAAAATTCCTTTCAGTAGCACCTTAGAGACCAACTAAGTTTGTTATTGGTATGAACTTTCGTGTGCATGTGTTGTTCTCTAAGGTGCTACTGGAAGGAATTTTTTTATATTTATTTTGTTTCGACTACAGCAGACCAACACAGCTACCTACCTGTTAGAAGATAGTACCTTGATATCTAGAGATCTCTCTTTGTCATCACAGGATGTGATCCCAGCTAAGCAAAGCGGTTATAGGAACATAGGTGGCTGTCTACCAGCTCCATCTGGTCTGTTGGCTGAGACCCTACCTGTTTGCACTCTGCCTCACCATAGTGGTACATGCTCTGGTTCTCTCCAGCTTGGACTACCACAATGTTCTCTACATGGGGCTACCTTTGAAGGTGACTTGGAAACTACAATTAATCCAGAATGTGGCTGCCAGACTGGTGACTGGGAGTGGCTGCTGAGACCATATAACACTGGTCCTAAAAGATCTACATTGGCTCCCAGTACATTTCTGAACACAGTTCGAAGTGTTATTGTTGACCTCTTAAGCCCTAAACAGCCTCAGCCCTGTATACCCAACCACAGGATTAAGAGTCTCATGCTCTACCGACTGAGCAATAGGAAGCTGCCTTATGCCAAGTCAGGCCATGGGTCGATCTGGCTCAGTATTGTGAACACCAACTAGCAGTGGGTCTCCAGGCAAGAGTGTTTCTCCAGCCCACCTGGAAACACAAGGGATTAAGTGTGCTCCTACCATTGAATTACTGCTTTTCTCATAAGACAATGTAGTTTGTGTGTATATTAAGAATGTAACTGAAATAACAGGAACCCTGCTGGATAAGACCAAAGACCCATCTAGTCCAAAGTCTTCTCACCCTTTGGGTTGACTGAGTGGAAGGAGGTGAGTCAGCCACTGAGGATTGGCTCCTAGGGTCATTCTGGAGAAGGCGTGTGGGAAGAACACAGAAGAGTTGTTCTCTATGCGCCAATGCTAACCACTGAGGAACACTGAAAACACAAGGGACTATTCAGTTTCACAAGAATAGTGTGAGAGTTCTGCTACTTCAGAGTCACTCTGAAAAGAAGATATTGGAGCACTCCAAATCATTTGCCTGTGCATACCTGCACAGAAAATATTAGATCTAGCTGAAAGGCAGCACATGGAGATCTGCATTGACTGTTGCATCCCTAATTATCATTACTGCATAATCTTAGACGGTTGAATAATATTAGAAGGGTGTGTGGCTGTGAGACGGCATGGCTGTGACTGTCATGAAAAGGTCCTGCAGTTCTGCCCGGACACTGAGGTCCAGCGCTGAGGGCCTTCTGGTGATTCCCTCCCTGTGAGAAGCCAAATCACAGGGAACCAGGCAGAGGGCCTTCTCGGTAGTGGCACCCGCTCTGTGGAACGCTCTCCCACTAGATGTCAAAGAGAAAAACAACTACCAGACTTTTAGAAGACATCTGAAGGCAGCCCTGTTTAGGGAAGCTTTTAATGTTTAATGGACTATTGTATTTTAATATTCTGTTGGAAGCTGCCCAGAGTGGCTGGGGAAACCCAGCCAGATGGACGGGGTATAAATAATAAATTATTATTATTATTACTTCTGAACTTGCCGCTACTGTACTGACTGTGTCAAACATGCAGAATGGCGCCAATCTTTCTTTCTGTCTG